ACTGCTCCTGAATCTTTCATTTTTGTAATAAATGACGATGTTCCAACTTTTGATATTCAATCAAATGTTTCCAAAGAAACTCGTGCTGCGGCAGAACGTTTGCTGAATTATTATATCCCAAATAAAACAAAGACGACAGATATTAAACTTAATGTCACTCTGTCCGATGATAAACCGATTTTTCACCCTCCTAGACGGCCTTCCTTTTGTTGAACGGGAAATTGTTGACATACAAATAAGTGAATGGTTGAAACTTAAAACTATTGAACCTTGTACATTTCCATATGCCAGTCAAGTTCTCGTAGTGCGTAAAAAAAGATGGTACACCTCCATGTTTGCATCGATTATAGGAAACTTAATCGCCTTTTAATTAAGGATCATTTTCCTACTCCTCTTATTGATGACATTTTGGATAAACTTCAAGACGCGCAAATTTTTAGTACTCTTGACCTACGTAACAGCTTTTTTTATGTGCCAGTAGCGGACGAAAGTAAACCATATACAGCTTTTGTAACTCACAACGGACAATTCCAGTTTCTTCGAATGCCCTTGTGTTTTTCAAATTGCCCTTCAGTATTCTAGCACTTTATAAATTATGTTTTTCGTGATTTAATTGTCAAAGGTTATGTTTTACCCTACATGGACGATGTAGTTATTCCGCCAAAAATGAAAATGAGGCCATTCATCGTCTCAACCAGTACTCAAAGTTGCTAGTGAATATGGTCCTAGAAGTTAATTTTCGTAAATGTCAATTTCTTCTTCACAAAAAAATCGAATTTCTTGAAGATGGTAAACTTTTTCCTTCCCCTTGAAAACAAAATCTGTAATTAACTACCCCGAACCTAAGAGTACGAAACACGTCCAACGCTTTCTCGGTCTCATGGGATATTTTAGGAATTCATCCCCTCATATTCTAGCATTGCTAATTGCAAAACCCCTTAGTGATCTCCTTCGTAAGGACACACCCCCTTTCAATTTCATGCTGATCAGAAAGCCGCATTTTACAGATTAAAATATTTGCTTTCTCAACAACCAGTTTTAAGTATTTTTAATCAAAAGAGTCCTATCGAAATTCATACTGACGCATCCATTGATGGCTGGGGGCAGTCCTACTACAAACATCTATGAACGATAACAGCTTTCACACCCTGTCTACTACATGTCAAAGAAAACATCGGACAACGAGCGTAAATACACCAGTTATGAACTCGAAGTCCTTGCAATTGTTGAAGCTTTAAAAAAGTTCCTTATTTACGTCCTTGGTTCACATTTTAAAATTATCACTGACTGCAACGCTTTTGTGCAAACTTTAAATAAAAAGGAACTCAATTCAAGAATAGCTCGATGGGTTTTATATCTCCAAGATTTTGACTACGAAATTGAGCACCGTACCGGTTCAAAAATGGCTCACGTGGATGCCCTCAGTCGCAGTCCACGTTGCATGACTATCCAAGACAGTGTCCTTCTCCAATTTCACAAAGCACAAGAAACCGACGAGCATATTACGGCTATTAAAGCAATCCTTCAAACAACGCCTTCGTATGATAACTTTCTCGTTAAGAACAATCTCCTGTACAAAAACGTCAACGGCATTGTCTTACTTGTGGTGCCTGAGAATATGCAGGCAAATGTCATTAAAACAGCTCACGAACGAGGCCACTTCGCCGTAATCCACACTCAAGAACTTTTAAACAACGAATATTTTATCCCAAATCTGAAAGAAAAAATTGAGCGGTGTATCCATAACTGCATCCCATGCATTCTCAATAATCGATTTTTTTTTCTTATACCTATGTTACTATATTATAATAATTTTTTTAATTTGATGATATACTATGTTGCTTCAGGCGAGGTCACCTGCCGGTTATGATGGCCGAATGTGGGAAATGTTATGTCATGATATTCCCTAATTCCCTACTGTGTGACGTATGCATTGCGTCAGCATGTGTTTCCCGCCTTCGGAAGATGACGAGGATTAGCTGGCGAGCGGAGCAGACGTCGCTCGATCGCTCGTATAACCATTTTCATTAATTGTAATCCTAATGTAATCTATATTTTGTAAGTAATAATAAATGTGTGTTATCAACTATGGTCATTGCCTTTCCCCACAATATTATGTTTTTATTGTTTTTCCAAAAATTCTCCCAAAAGTGAGAAACCGGTCACAAATTTCTTGTAAAATATATCCATTATGTGTTAATACCATGAAAACATTTTTCATTTTATCATATTTTTCTGGAATCTTCTAGAACCGTGTATTTATAAATCTTGACTTCAAATCCTTCTAAACTTTCTAAGTTGCAAGGTCCAAAATCCTAAAATAAAATTAACCCTACCAATTTTGTTACAGCAGAAAGGCAAGGGGGGGGGTTGGGGGAGGGAATCTGAAGAAGAAAGTGCAAATTGAAGCATATTTTGAGAATTCTGAATATTCTGAGACAATTACATAGAAAAATCTCTTACCATGGGAAGGGGGGAAGGCAACAATAATTACATAGCTATTTTCTCTTGCTAAAAATTGTTTCATAAATTGTGCTTTATAGCATTTATTACTTTGTTTATTTTTCAAATTCAATTTATTGTAATAACAGTAATGCCACTTTTTAATATGACAGCGATAAATAAAAATTCTTTATTTTTATTTTACTTCTGAAGTATAAACTTAACATTTTACCATTACTTTAATAAAATTTAACAATGTTATAATGCTCTAAAAAATCATCGAAAAATCCAAATAAAAAAATTTTGTGTGGAAATTGATCTTAAAATAGCCAAAATGGGGATAAATGGTCAAATTTAAAGCCATTTAATAAAAGATTTAACATCCCTAAAAGGGAAAAGTTATTTAAAGACAAAACAAAAAGAAATAATTTTGAAATGTTTATGTTTCACTTCTTGCCCAGAAAATCGAGTATCAAACCGTTTATATTAGAAACGGGAACAAATTCAAATAACTCATGAAATACATATTTGTCAGTGAATCGCCAAAAATATTCTTCCAAAATGCTAATTCACACTTAAAATGGAAGTCATAAAAGCAGACAGTAATTTCAGGAAATTAAAATTAAGGACCTTCTGCCGCTTTTGGCCCAAATTAAGGACTTTTAAGGACCTAAAATCGATTGCATAAAACCTAAGGCCCTTTAAATTAATTTTAAGTTTTAACCTGTTCAGTACGGGCGTGTCATATGTGCATCAGCAGCGAACCTTACCTCGTGGCCGGGTGTGTCATATTTGAATCGCCATTTAATTCACTCTATGGCCGGGCGTACCACATTTGACTTTTTAGATAGAATGCTTAATTAGCATTTTTTGTTGCCACTAGATGTAGCTGTATGTCTGTTATGGGAAAATATATCGAAAGGTAAGTATATGTACCTTCATTCCTATGCAATGTTTTTTTTATTTTTGGTATTTTGTTTCAGAATGCGAGATTCGTGGATGGGTGTTGAGCAATGTAATGTCTCTTTAACTGCCTCATTTGATATAAACAAATGCCCATGTTCTCGATGCTCTGAGGTATTTTTTATTTTTATTTTTGCGATTTACGTATTTGAACATAGAAGAATATACACAAATGTTAATTCATTAGTGTTGAGTAACGTGATGGCTCTTACTGCTTCATTTCATATAAACAAATTAACATGTTCTTTATGCTCTGGAATACTTAATTTATTTATTTTATTGTTATTTTATTTTTTTTATCCCCATATAGTGGAGTCATTAGAGACTTTTTTTTACTGTTAGATTTTTCCCGCATTGAGAAGAATATTTTGTATAGCTTAGCAAAAGTTTTTTAATGGCAAAACGAAAGCGCTATCTGACCGTAGAAGATACACAAATGCTAAATGAGTCAAATTTGCTGATATTCTATTTCTGTGACATTTGCAACATTTTACTTTGCGTACACCCATGTTTCAAAGAATATCATACACTGTCTCTTTTTTGAAATATTCATCGTATTCTTTTCCATTGTTTTCACATTGAATTTTTATGACAGTTTTAATATTTTTTTATTTTAATTGTGTGTTGAGTTAAATAAAATCTGCGATTGTTTGGATATTTTTCCATATATATTTAATTGTGGGATAAAGGAAAAATCATATTATTCTAGAATGTGTGTGTATTAATTATGGCAAAGCACACTATTGCTATCTGCCTAAGGGGAGGGATGCCTTCGTGGAGGACTTTCTAAGGGAAACTGGCTCGTATACACGTTACACATGGGGAAAACCACGAAAACACCCTTGCAGCCAGCCCATTCGCGGGATTCGAACCTCGGACCGAACTACCAGTGTTCAGCGACTTTACCACTCGGCTGCTGGTGGGCCTATTCTAAAATGAGTATTTTATAAAATTTTTAAGGAAAATATAACAACAAAAGTTTAAAATTAATTCTGACAACTACTTGAATATTCTTCTCATAATGTACCAAAAATTGGAACTATTGGATGACAAATTTAATTTAAACGAATTTTTTTCCAAAGTTAGGTTTAGCAGTGCAAACTGCCCTGTCCCCACAAGACAACATGTCCGGTCAACACGCCGTCCCTAGAGAACGCTTCGGTAACAGAGGTGCCCATCGTGAATGGGTTAAGGACATTACGAACCCTGTATATAAGATACAGGTAAAATACTTTCTCCAAGAAAAATGAAAATTACAATAACTCTTCACTTGCTTTCTTTTTCAAATGATTAATTTTTCTTAATTGCTTATTTAATTATTTCTTTATTGCTTTATTATTCAAACATAAGCTTTTATTACTTAAAGATAATGAACTATATTAAAAAAAAAAAGAAGAAGAAGAAGAAGAAGAAAAGAAAGAATCCCCTGGCTTTTTGTAAAAAGTTTAAATTTTTCCTGAACATTTCTCAGTTCCTTGACTTTCTAGGCAATCTTCTTAGACACCCTATATATTGAGAACTCTGTAATAGATAGATATAACAAAAACAAAATGTGTATACAAGACTAACATTAATCAATTATATATATTACTCACTTTGCAAGAGATCTGTTTACATTCACATCAAAAGCAGTAGATGATGCATCTCCACTATTAGGATGAAAACACTGGTTATGGCTCTTGAGTTCACTAAAATATACAAGTGGTATTTAAAAAATACTTATTATAAAATATTTTTTAATATTTAAATATTGAGAATTATAATTTTTTTTTACTTAATATTATATTTCATTAGCAATAAAAAGTAATTTATTTAGAAGAATACTCATTTCTATGAACCTGCTTTTTTAAAATTTATTTGCTTTAGTCTTTAAATGCCACAACACAACAAGGCCAATGATAAATATTAGTAGTTTGACTTGGATTAGAGTTCCGGCAAATGTTTCGCCTTCATTAGTGTTTTTGCTGGTTTTCTACTTAAGTATAGCTAAATGTGAATTAGTTTCTTAAGAAATTCCTCCATGAAGACAACCATTCTCTTACATAGACTGACCTTAATGTTTTATACATATTACATTAATGAAGTATACATATTACATTATTAACCCATCAGGAGTAAGAATAATCTCTAGAACATTTTTCTGCAAAGACAGGCAATAATCCATGACAACAACCCCTACAACTCATTTTAGGCAATTTTGAGGAATTTGTTACAATACAGGTATAAGAGAGTGGAAGGTATGCTCCTTCCATAATCTTGTAAAGAGTGAGGAGGGCAACCAATGACTTAAAGAAAAGATTCTTCGGCATTTCACACCTTTGTGCCATTTAGGCCCACAGATTTGCACAAAGCTGTCTTTAGCTCATGCACAGTAAATCACTATTATGAGATCCGGGCTTGGAAGAATTGAAAGTAATGCAATTAATTTATCTCAGAGTGAAATTTCACAAAAAGAAATGCCAGTGGATAATTGCTGCTGGAAGAGACGACAGCAGATGTCTCAATAATAGAGTCTGCAATTTCTTCAGTGATGCTAATCACACGGCCAATCTTTTTCCAGAAAGGAAAGTTAAGTAGTCTTTATACAATCCACATGCTTTTCTAACTCTTTCCCATACTTTTTTGCTTGGTGTAAAGGCTGTTTGTGATAAAACATATGACACCCATGAATCCATCTGGCTGTGACTTTTTTTACTTTTCTGGTGCTTACTTTGGCCTTTTCTTGAAGGTTTTACAATTTGACAAAGTGGGATACCCATGGAAAGCTCCCCAATCTTTTCTCTGCTGTCTGAGAGTTTCTTGGCAATCAAGTATTCCATTGTGATTTTGAAAATTTTAGTAACTTTGTTGATGTCATAGGTACAGAGAAAGCTGCTGCTTGAATAATATCATCAATAGGCCAAAGTAAACACCAGAAACCACATCACCAGAACACCTCTTTTACCTTCTGTAACCTCTGCAAGAGATGAAAAGAGCTCTCAGTCTTCCTTATCAAGTTAAAGACAAAGGATTTTTGACATGGGATTTACTCCTTCTCATGCAAGAGTTACAAAAATAGGAAAATGATTACTATCATAAATATTATATTTCCCACACTATATGTATAAAAAGGCAGATAAGAGAGATAAAGACCCAAGAGATAAAGAATAGACAGCAAGATCAAGAACATGGAATCTTCTTGTAGTCTCATGGAAATAGGTATTTTGTCCATTATTGAGGAGACAATGATTTTCAATCATTTGTTCATTTTGTCTTCCTTGAGGGTTTATGTCCTTACTTCCCCAAAGTGAACTATGGCTGTTAAAATCCCCTAGGGTTCTGGAAGCTGCTCTATAATATTATATAATTCTCTTTGATTGATGTTGTCGTTTTGAGGCAAATAAAACAGAACAAATTCAAACTAATATCCTTGTATTTATTTGAATGGCAACAGCTTGAAGATTTGTAGTTAAAGGAATCAAATGAGAAGGATAATTAAGTGAAGTGAGTAGACCTACACCTCCTCTCACATATAAGATTGTCTTTCTTAGTGAACAAAAACTCCTGCAGCTTAGCTTGTTTCCTGTACTGACAAGATTAAGTATTCAGGATAATGTACATCAGTCAAATCTTTCGTGCTGATATAATTTTCATAGAAATTGCAACAGTTCCATGAAATGAGGATAGCCATTGTCAGATGTTTGCTCTCTTGGTGCTGTTTCTTGGTTTTTCATGGGAGTAGGTGTTTCAAGATGTCCAGTCCCTTTTAAATGTCCATCTCAGAATCAATAAGATCTGTATTGATTCTTTTATATGAGTCTGCACTTTTGATTTCTGAGAGGTTTCATAATTTTGTCCTTTTATTTGACACTTCCTATTTGATTAGATTTTGGAATTAAAAATATTGATGGAATTGATTTGAGCTGTCTTTTCTTGTAATTTTCAACTGCTTATTCATGCCCAAAGACTTACATTTTGTGTGCCCATGGATTTCACATTGCGGTCGAAAATCAGGAGAGTTGGCAACTCTGTAATAGGTTATAATACCAGGCTTCAATACATTTTAGTAAATCAGGTGAACATAATGTCAGGATTATGTGCTTCGCATTTGTCAGATCACCATCTTCACACATCTTGATCTATCAAGCAGCACAGACAATCTGTTCGGACAGCTCAGAAATCATTTGCTCTTCTGTAATGAAGAGGTCAATCTCCAAGATTATTCCATGACTGTAATTCAATGTCTTATGCTCTGAAACACTCATGTCAACTTGACAAAGTTTATTTAAACCGTGAAAGTTAACAAACTGATGAGCTCAAGAAATTGTTTCAATTAGAATATCTCCATAATGCAACCTTCTGATGTTTTTTGGCTCACCAACGCAGGATTTTATAAATTTATTATCAGAAATTTTCGTGGATTTTTTCTTTAGCTTTAATGCGTTTAATTTTTTGAAAAGGAATGTTTTTCATGCATTTTTTGCATTAGAGGTATTATTTTTGCTAATTATTTTAAGGAACGGATTTGAAACTAAATCACAAAGATGCAGTTTTGCCGATGTGGAATCAGGGTGTTTGTGGGACCCCAAAAAATCCCCTGAAACTTTTACGGACTTACTACCGACATTTTGGAGTTTCGAGAAGGGGGGGGGGGAGAGAAATGAAAAATTACAATTATGAAGTATTGAATGACCTAATTATAAAAGTTCAATGAATTACTTTTTTTGCAAAATTAATAACCATAAATTTTCAAACATATAAACTACTACATTTTATGTAAATATTTTAAATTACCTGAATTAATTCTTTAAAAAAAAAAATTATCTAATTTCTGCTGCTTTTTTTTTTTTTTTATTTTCTGATGTTTGTGGGCTTGTCTTTCTTTTGTGGTGAACTTCATAATTGCAGGAAGGTTGACTTTTATTTTCCTCATTTACAGTTGAAGAAATTTCCTCGAGAACTGCACATGCAGAGGTAGAAGCAGTTTGCTTTTCTGCTAATGTAGAAGGTTTTTCAGAGACTTTTATAGGTGACTCATCTGAAATACATGTTTTTAAGTCCTCTTGATATGTTTTCCAACTTCTGTTCATATTCAGTAAGAGATCTTTGTGAATTGGATCAGTCATTGGATTTTTTGAGCCATATTTTTCACATGAGGTTTCTTTAGAAGCCATTAAATCATATATTTAATAGTCTGCACTGCATCTAGGGAATCAATCTTAAGAGAGGTTCTATAGTCAGTGACAAGTGTATCCATTAAGTTGAATGCACTTTCCACTAATGGGCCATGGAAGCAGCAAAGGCAGGCTTTGACCAATTTAGCCAATGTAGGATACTTATAATCATTTGTGAAATCATCTTTTAAATTAAAAACTTTAGACCAATATTTATCAATTGTACACTTGACTTGATTTCCACTTTCATCAGATGTGTAGAGCAGAGTTTACGATCATACATCTTTTACTATTCTTGTCACTATATCCAATGGCCGAGCATCAGTCTCCAGTAAGTCATCAGTATTTTTTGAATTAGCATAATTACTTAAAGTCATTGAATGTCTAATGCACTTTGAATATTTTATGTGCGTCACAGTTTTAGAATGATTTGTGAAAGCCTTGAATCCTTCCCCACCATACTTCAGCAGTGAGTTACAAAAAACACAATATGCTTGTCCAGCAACATTTATTTTCTTGCACCATGTGCCGATGGTATCCCCATTACCATCTCTCCGTTCAATCCAATTCCACCTAAATGCATTCCGGACACCTTCTTCTAATTGTATAATATCACTATTTATATCGAGAAATTTCATAGTGAAATTCTCTTGCGTACATAAATAAAAAACATATTTCAATAAACGAAACGAAAAATTTACACGTGCATCAATAAATGAAACGAAAATTTTACACAGCGGAGAAAAAAAAAATTGAGAAACGATCAATGACAAATAGCTAATACGGCGAAAAATCCCCCTTCTCTACTTATTGGCGCCACGCCAGGAGAGATAAGACCTTTGAACCCAGAGTCACGTGATCGCACATCTGGTCGAACGAAGTCTCTCCCTTTTTTTTCTGCCGCGCCTACTTGCCGAAAAGAATCCAGAAGAGAATGTCCGAGAACCGGGGGAATGAGTCATAACTCGCAATAAGGAAAGAACAAAAAAGAAGTTTTTTTTTTTTTTCCCCTTTTCACGCACATTATCACTGCCTTTGGAGAAAGAAAGGAAAAGTTTTCACCACACACACTGACCTTGCGTTTTCTGCTTTCAAAGCAAACAAAATTACCCAGATCAAAATAAATAATTCATTATTCCTATTGAACGACGATCAGATCAAATAAATAATTCATTATTATTCCTACTTCCTTTTGAACGACGATCCCCGGAATTTCCGGGGATCAAAGTTCAAAATCTCCGGAATTCCGGGGTTTCCCCGGAGCACAAACACCCCTGTGTATATAATATGAAGCCCCATTGTCAGCTTTCCCCAAAGCGTGAACTCCAGTGAGCTTATCCTTAAGCCACTGAGACTAAGGGCAAGTGACCAACTGATTGACACTAGAGAGAACAGCTAAGTGCATCCCATTTCAATATGAAGCAGATGCCCAAGCATGGAACAATACCTTGACCCTCAACTACTAGGACCCTCCTTTCCAGGCACAATGAGTCGCAATGCACAGCAAACATGTAGGCGGTTTTCTCTTAAAAGAA